CTCAAATTTTAGCAACATAATTATAATTTTCATTATCAATTTTAAGCGTAACATCTACAGATCCAATCATGTAGCATACCACGATAAGGAAAACGAACAGTGCTGTAAATTACTAGAATACAATAACTGTCATTAAAAGTGCATGTTTTCATTAGCGTATAGCATATTTTGATCAAGCCAGTGACACGAATTCTTCGGCGTGTTTCGTTCATGTTTGAATGCGAGCTTACTTGTTGCAGCTTGCATTTCCACTATGTAACCTGAAAAATCCGTGCGCGACTTGACCTCCACAGCTTACGAGGAAAAATGTAATATGCATATTATGGAGGTAGACTATCGTTGTTCCCCGTGTCCCCGAAAGTCCTGCTTCTTTTTTCTCACGCGAGCAAATATCAAATACTATTTCCGATGCGGTGAAATGTCGTGCATGACGCGAAAAATCTTGGGTCGACGTATGCCATTACGATACCGAGAAATGATAGTGTTCCAGCAAATTGACTGAAATTGACATTCGAATCATTTCTCTTGCAAAAATTCGAATAGATTTTTACGTCCAGTTGCTAGACACAGCGGACGATCTACTCTTGTTACTGGCCATAATTATCAGGCTATGTTGTTTAATTTTGGCCTCGCCATTTACAATTTGAAAGTAGAAGAAAATTTGATCACATCATATTTGTACGCAAAGTGTTCCACGGTATAATAGCCTATCCATAAATTATCGAAAGTTTCAAAATTAATATCCCAGCTTGAAACTATGACCTTTTATATGTTCGGCCTCGTTATTAGAGAAATACATTGTTTGGCTATCTTACTGATATTAGTCGTGTGGTCATCAATACTAATAACGTATTTTCCTCTATCGACATATTCTGTCAATTTCCCCATGCAATCGAGGAATAGTTATACCGTGCCTCGTTGTAATATTTATCTTTCCAATTTTGTATATTCGAATAGCTTTATTCCATAAATAAATACATAAATAAATAAATAAATAAAATTCCGGAGCGAAACTTCCATTGTACCATGCAGTGAAATATCGTGAAACTCGAGCTTCAACGATCGCTCAGAATTTTCGTACCCTGAATACGGAATTTAGCGAAGGCACAAAGATGAAACTACGAACTGTATGAAGAGACGAAGAATAATTCACGTGTTGCAGCGTGGCTGGTTACGGTTGTTCGTATTTGCCATCGTAAGCTTACACGTGTTAGCGCGTATTTATACGCGTATGTTAATGCATGGTAATTTCCCGAGGAACACGCTCGGTACATGCCTCGACGTGCTTACACAAATTCATAGCGAGCTTTATTTTTATATTTTCCCATACTTCACGGTTTATCCAGGGCTGACAACGTACGTAGCCGCCATTTATCACCGACGGATGACTTCCGTCACGAAATCCATGTGCATCGCCGCGCTCCATACCTAATCATCGATCCATTCGGACAGATAGCCTATCCGGATACCAAATGTTCTCTCTCGTTCGACTCGCGTTCCTCTGTTCGCTGATTAGTTCACGATGAAATGGATACCCTTTCTATTCCACTCCCGTTTTCTGTCTTTGTACTTCTCCCGACGTTTCAAATCGATAAAACCGTCGAAATAAGTGTATTAGTCTCTTCGTGCCAAACGTCAGCAAAAATTCCAGCAACGAATGAAAGAGGTCGTGAAAATTCCATGGAATAAATTAAATCGTTTCGGCAAAATTTGAAACCAATTTGAAAATATATATACGATAAACATTACACAATACTCGTATTTATTGCAAACGTATATTTAACAGAAATTAGTACGCATGAATAGTCATCTTAAACATACATAATAAATGTTAAATGTAGTTTACCAAATACTGAGATTTATTAATATAATCGATAAATTGACTGTTTAAATACGTCTGTGAATCTGCAAATGAAATGTATACTTGTACTAAATACCTTGCAATTTTCACGTATACTTTCAGATTTGTTCCAAGCCTTCTTCTCTCTCGCTTTTAATCTCTTTCGCTGTTCGATTGGCGATTCGTCGAACAATTCCTCACTGGAAAATTCTTTACAACAATAATCCGTCGAACACGGTCAAGACATCGATAGAGATCACTGTATTTGCAATAGTTCGAAAGTCCCCGGATACCTACGCATGATAATGTATATAACGACACATTACGAGAAAAAGACAGACAGAAAAAAACAGAAAAGAGAGAAAAGAAGTAAATGAAGAAGAAAGAATCACTGTGGACAGAACGTGGAGAAAACGTGAAAGTTGAAAGAGGGCGAACAATTGGAGAGTAGAAAGGGATGAAAATGAAAGGGGAAGCAGAACTATTTCCGACTTGGTTTATGTTTTATGCGCGATGGCAAAAGGGGCTTGCAATGGGCCGTACACGCGGCTATCGCGCAGTCAAAGTGACCGTGAGATCGGGCAAATTGTTTGAGAGCTTTCAGAGCTTTCGTTTCGGATTAAATGTTCGCAGCAGGCCTGCTGGAAGGGTTGTTGATGTAAGTGGGTTTTTAGTAGCCCGCGTTTCAAGTAGTTACCGCGAAGATGAAAGTGACACGGAATTGTTAGAATTAGCCATTCGAGAGGAATTGCTTAATAGGTTTTACGAAGATGCCCTGGCTAACAATAAACGTGAATCCATTTTGGATTCAATCTACATTCACATTCTAATTTGCATTTTAACATGCACCGATGATATGCGATTCGTCTATTACGAACTCTTATCTTTATTGAATATCGCGACATGTTCGCAATTTCGACAGAACGCAACTGACAAGGGAAGATACTCAACTCGTAAATTAAAAAAGCTATGAAACTTCGGGGATATGTGGAGGATATATAGATATAGATATGTAGCACACATTTTTTTTTTCTTTTTGGCTGCCCAAATTCAGTCTAAAGGGATGGAATTGACCCCTGAAAATCCGACCATTTTTCGATTTGGCGTTATAAATCGTCATAACATCGATCAATTTTTCACCAACTGATAGTCCCAATTATAGGAAATAAATTTTGTCTGAAAACTTTTCTGAAAATTTTTCCACACTTAGCGAACGAGCAATTATTATTTAATTATATTATATTAATTAATTTAATTAATTTAATTATATTATGATTATTTGATATGTTTCTTAAAATTGTTGAGAGATTTTGTGGTGAGATACATTTAACATCAAATAATTAGCAGAATCGTATATGAAAAGTCCCCTCCACGTATGTAAATATTTCTTATTTCTTTATTTGTTGTAATGCAAACAGAAGTTCCGAAAACTTTTTCATCCCCCCCCCCTGTGCATGCCAATAACTTTTGTATGTACTGTAAATCCGAGAATAATAGATTAACGGAAAATATTCCCATTCCTTTTCTTCCAGAAAGATACGCCCAACGAAAACGTCAAGACACCTAGTGCTATTCCATTGCGCGTATGGTCATTAAAAATTGTTTCACGAAGAACACGTCACCGGAGAACGATTCATTCCTGGTAATTTCGCAGTTACATTCTCGGACAAGCAAGATGTGCTGCGTCGAGCGAACACACTGACACAGGTAGCCCAGTAATTTGTTTAGCTAAAAGCCGCGCGTTACAGGGTAAACGCAGCGAAACGATATCGTAAAATTGCTGTTTTAAAGGGGAAGAGGCATATTGTACAAAGGACACGCGCGCTTGCGAATATTCGTTTCTTTCGCGTCGTTCGCGTCCTACGATAACTGCAAATGCGAATTTTTAACAAGTTTCCCATTACTGCTCGCCACTTCCGAAAGACTTCTTAATTTCCTCCTGATAGACTATGGCGGTTAAAGAGTTGATCGGTTTGATTTATGAATATCGGAAATGCCTTTCGTGATAGCTGTTCGGATGTTTAATTTTCAACGATGCGATCAGGCGTAAGTAATTGGTACAAAATACGATGGATAAATATTAAATGAAAACCGTTCTGATAATTAATTATCGAATAACGATATTGATATTAGGATATAAATATATGAACACGATATATAAATAGTATCCGCAAAATAAATTTCTGCGGTATTATTGTTAATTAAAGTTAGTTTATACGAAGCGATCCGTTCGTCACATCGATAAACGATGTAGATTTGAAGAATATTTTTATATTCCAAGAATATAATTCGAAAGAAATATATCGAAGAGTTCGTTCCCTTGGAGATGGGCGATGTTTGGAGTTATAATTACAATGTTTATTTCATTGCAATGATTTAGTGATATTATGAAGCTTTAAAGCTGTAATACGACTCTTCATCAACGTTGATATGATTCGTACACGATTCTAACCAATACTCTCGTTTTCTTTCCGTTAAATGCATCAGATTTTACGAGTTCTTTTACCAACGCGCAGAAAACCCATATGAACAGCAGCTCCAGTTCCAAGTAAAATTGGCGATATCTTAGATTAGAGGGAACAGAAAATTTCCAAAAAGTTTAAAGCTCTGTTTTCGTCTTCCAAAGACTTCACACGCACGACACACATCTTTGTCGCGTATAACAAATTCTCTGTGTGGTATCCACGTCCGTTCCACAAATCGCTCTATAAATCACCTAGTATAAAAATTTGCCCCTCCTATAATCATGCGTCGTTCTCAATCCTACCTCTTCTTAATTTCATCTTCATTCGAATAAACACATATTCATGGCCACTTTGCATTCGTATCTTTGTTATCCAAGTAATAATGCAAATAACATGGGCAAAAAACTGTGGACGAACAGTGGAAACGATGGATGGGGTGAAAACGGGCGGTTGTAGAGGGTGGGAAAAGAAGAGAGAAGTCGAAGTCTCGCGGCACGAGGATTGCACGAGCAACCGAGCCACTCGTTGGCGCAACGGTGTCGTTAGATCTTAATGGCCGACAACGATGCTTCAGGACGTTTCGACAAGCAAAACGAACGGCGGTGGTGAAACGAATGGTGCCTGGAGGGACGAAGACGGCGCAGAGTGTTCAGGCTGGTGCGTCTCGAGGCGTGGAGGGTGCTCGGTCGCAAAACGTGGTTCTTGCCAGAGAACGTAGACCGCTTCCGGCTACGTGGACGTAATCTCACGTACCTATGCAGATACGTGTATTCGCACATGAATGCGGAAATAGGAACAATTTATGTACGTATTTGTATTATACCGTAAACATGTTGAAATTTCCTCGGCGCTGTAATGAGACCAAGATATCATGATTACGTTAATAATATTTAAAATAAGATCGAAAATGGTCATAGAAATTACATGATATTTAGTACAAGCGTATATTTCAGAGATCACGAAGGTATTTAAACAGACGATTATCCATTGTATTAATGGGTTTCGATATTTACTGGCACCATCCATAAGACGTATTATATATTTAAGATGATTTTTCGTAGTGTATACTTTTATTCGATATATGTATACAGTAAATATCTGTAACTTCTGTAGTGCTAGTATAGATTATAGATTTATAGTATTCCATATAGATTGTAATATTCGTTTAAATTTTTACCAATATAGTTCAAGCCATCGTGTTCCGTTACAGCACTTATGAAATTTTAAAGAGTTTAAAGTTAAAGAAAAGTTAAAGAGTATAATGTACACATAGAATATTCATAAAAATTTTCTCTGGTAAATATTGAAACACTTTTATAAGCTACTGCACATATATGTCCAACAAGGAAAGTCATCTTACGTAGGCAATCTGCGTTTTAAAGCCATTGCCGGAGATTCACTTTTCCCTGGAATCCACGGGAAATTTACTTGGCCATGCTCTGAAATCAGAATTTATCGTCGAAGGGAAGGAAGTCCATTTCCCTGTACAAAAGAAAATAGTCCGCGTGTTTTATTTTCGTTTGACGCCACGGGAAAATGGCTGTTCGTCTGGTTTAATTCGGTGGTTCTTTCGGGGTGATCTTTGACACAGAACCCAGAGAGCGAGCCCAGCCGTGACAAAAGAGTCCTTGGTTAACTCCTTACTTTAGATTTTTCCCCGTATATGTTAGTCTCCTTATTATCACGGTTATTACTTTAATACTATGTTTGATATAAAAGATTGAAATATTGTACAGTCTTGTCGACCGGTATGATATTTTCAGTTAAAATTGCGCTTTAACGTAAGTACAGCTTAACTATTAAAGGAACGAGATTCGATCTATTGCATTTTATATTTTAATATTATCGTCAAGCGATAACACCAGTTTACATTGTTATTGATCACAACTGCAAACAGTAATTTTTCTACGCTTCACCTGGTATTGAATAACAAAACGTTTGATCCCACTGCTTTAACTTTATAATAATCTTCAAGGATTAAACTCGAGTTACGTGGAACGTTGTATTTGTTGAAATTTGCATACGAATCTCTTAATATTGGCGAATCTTCCTCTATTCCTTAAGACATTAGATTTGCATTTATCTCTATGGAGAATATTAGATTGTTGCTTGATACCAATCTTAATCCATGTTATGAGTCTGACACGATATTCTAACATAAGGGGTTAAATGTTCTCAGTGAAAACAGCGGGATAATTTGAAAGCGATTCAGACTTGTCCAAGCTATCTGTCCGTATACGTGCTAAAATTCTATCACTGCTATAGAGCTTCTGCGATATCATTTATGTCCAAATGTATGTAGTTCCATCAAAGTATCTGGCCTGCAACAGCGATATAAAATGCTTAAGCTAAGTCAAATTTCACACATGAATTACGAGAACGGAAGGAAAACGAGCGAATGGAAACACGAACCTGACGAATAATGAAACATACAAGCGTTGAAGAATAAAGGCGATCGGATCGACAAGATAGATAGAGTCCGGCACTGAAATTGAATTTTCAAACACAGAAGTTCAGTTCAGGAGTAACTAAAGAGGACTTTATCTCGTAAACGTTGCTTTACATGAATTTGTGTGTACGTAGTTAAAGGAAAGGATTAAAGTACTCAAAACAAGATGGAATTAAGAAAAAGTTCGAAACATTATCGACAGACTGAGAAGAAAATGATACAAATAACGAATATCTTTAATCTGCGGATAAAGTTAAATTCTGATACAGAAATTTAGACATTGATCTTAAAAAAATCAGAAATTCATTTTGACTGACGAATGGTTTATATTCACAGAATTGGGTCACGTGTAATGCAAGTTCACAGATTTTCGATCATCCATAACGGAAATTTGCAAAATTTAGATCACGTATAACGGAAGTTCACAAAGTTCTCGATCACGTACGATGCACAAATACTAAAAACTTTACTTCTCGTAACTATAATCGTTTGCCCGTCGATTCATCTACACATTAACTCTTTCGCCTACAACATAGTGTAGGCGTAGGAGACTCGTGGTAAGGAAATCGGGTAATATAAATAAGCCCGTGGTTTGTAGTTAGAGGATAGATGTATTCAGAAATTGTAATAAAATGTTATTGATGTATTATTTACTTCGAGATAATAAACCTTTCTTGTTCACCAATGAATCGTTCGTAATTATTTATCAAACATCTTGCAAAATTAAACAACTATCACAACTTTGAACGCTTGGTTGAACCGCAAAATGGCTCGACGTGTAACCGAACTTGTCGTTCATAAGACACACTATCGGAATTTAAATCGTAGGGCAAGTAATTTTAAGATAACTTACTATGCACAATCATAAAAATGTAGACATTCGTAATAAAATCCTCTGAGTAGATATGGTAATACTAGGAATGATAAATATTAAATTACCATTAATTAATATTAATTTTCATTTACCAATATTAATTTACCATTTCTAGCGTTTATCTCTCTTTCACTATAGAAATAGAAGAAAAAAGTACTCATACTACTTTTACTTCGAATCTCTCAATTACGATCGAAAAATATCGTATTTGTTTTACTAAATTACTTGTATTTTTGAAATTGAGCATCGATCCACCACAGACATTCCAACTTACGCACATTAATTTGCAGTTTTAACGAACGTTGTCCCGTATCCGGGACGTTCCGAGCCATTAATTTAATGATCAAAAACGTGTTAGTCGGCTAAATCGATTGCCCAGTGAGTATCGGTTAATCGGTTTAGCTGATTTACCGGTTAACCGCGTCAGCAGCAATTAAAACGTGCCACTGCTAGTAGAAGAACGATTTTATACGGACCACGGTACATGGTCATTTGCACCGAGTTGGAACGCGTGAAAACGGACATCGAATGTACTCGTTCGAATGTCAGTTAACGTTTACGGACGGTTTTCTTGCAAGCTCGGACAAAGGTATTATTGAAATCTGCAAGCTCAGGTTTCAACTAGTTCCAAAATTCAAGAATGCCGCTGACAGAACCAAAGAGAATGACTTTACTTGCATATTTCCAGTGAAGGGAACATTGAAATCTTGTTAGCTTGAATTTAGTAATGGAAACAGAAGTTTGATCGTTTTAATCCATTAAGGGATAAGATTATCTTTTTCATTAATGAATATAATTATTCGTTAGATCGTGGTTTTTGAAGATGAAAATGAATGTTTTGTCATTTTTTTCATTTGAAGGTTATTCTTGAATAATTATATCAATTATATTTTTGATGCGTTAAACGAGTTTGGAATTCAAAGACGCAAGAACAAGGAGTGTCAGGGTGAATGATTTATTGGAATTTGCAAGCTATTCTTGAATATATTCGGAATTCTAAAACATGGATGGGTAGCTGGATTCTCTGGAAACAATTTCTCCGTAAACTAAAGTGGAGGAGCTATTGAACTCGGCAACCTTGGATTGAAAACGATTCAGAATTCAAGAACATAGCTGTTGGATCCCGAGGAAAATATCTCTCTGCCAGCTCCGGCGAAAGAGACCTTGAAATCTGCAAGCTCAGGTTTCAACTCTAAGACAGAAGTAAACTGAATTCGATAGCTTTAACAAGATCAAGTTTTAATAGATTCAAAATTCAAGAGATTGCGTTGTATTCTGGTATATTATGGGCATTCGATGCATTTTCCTACCTGCGCGAATATAAGTTTCGTATAAAAATCCACAGTTCGATCACAACCTATTACTTTCTTTATGTTCTATATCTTTATCGCAACGATTTAATACATGTTTCGTCGATCTATGTACACTCACACGATGACACTTTCATATTATTTCCAGTTATAAGATACCTTAATAACGTTTCTACAGAAACTTCAAAAATATTCTATAACGAGATTATCTCGTTAAGGGTTGTCGTGTTCCATTCGAAACCGAAGAAACGGAACGTCGTGAAAGTTCCCGACCGCCTTCGCTGCCGAGTAAACTTTTAAGCGAATCCTGAAAATTCCAGCGCTCTCGGTAATCATAATGAAATATATTTTCACAGGGAGCGGAGCTGTTGCGTGAGATTATTGTCTTGGCGTAAATCTGCGCCACGAATGGAGTTACATCGCAGCGAGCGATCGACAATTTGTAACATTGATCGATCAGAGGCGAAGATTCAATCTGCACCGAGACATCGGTGTGAAAGGCCCGCGGAAAATGTGGCCCGGTTCCTGCTCACCCGGTGAATGTACATTTCCATTCTCCCTCCCAGTTTATCCGTTGACCCGGCAGAACGACTTCCGGCTCGTGAAGCTTCTACGAAGCGACCAAAGAAAAATCAAGAGGAACAAATGATAAAGTAGGATTATTTGAGACAGATAAGTTTCAACAGCTTAAGGTTTAACCTTAATCCTTGTGCGGAATGTTCAAACATAGTGTATATTATGAGACGGGAATTATTGATCAAGTACCATACCCTGGCTGGAAAAAGAAAATAATAATTAGAAAAATAAGACAATAGTAATTATCTTCTGCTAGCTGTGGAAGAGAAGAGATCTTTGGGAGAATCTCGAAATCAGGTGTAAACGGTAATCTGAGAGAGATTCGAGAAGGTGAATTCGTAGAAAGAGAGATTCTTTTCTGGAAAATGCTTCACGCGAAAATTGGTCGCGTCCTATTCACTTCAGGGATATTATCCGACATGGTATTTTCGAGTCAAATATATCGTTAATACCATAATTGATTATTTAATTTAGCCTTTGCAAATTGCTAGTAAGCCGCAGGAAGAAGCAGTGCTAGACATTTAATCGTTGGCTTCAGAGGTGATAACGATCAACGGAATCTCCGAGGAAAATTGTTCAACGAGTCCGCTGATTGAACAGAGAAAGAGACGAGCACAGGCTCATGAAGGTATTCGAATATTCGTAGACACCTTTTACAAATGTATTATACACGTGTTATACGAAACTGTGCAATTTCATTAGCACAGTTATCAGACTCGATTATCACGATTGTATTGATCAAACTCGAAACAAATCTGAATGTATATAAGTTCCAGGATATTTAGGTAGTATCGTGGATGAAAGGCCTAAGAGATATCGGGTGAACCATAAACAATGTCGCGAGAGCCGAGGCACCGTCGGGCCCATCAAAGTGTCGTCGGTCCTTTCAAGTGCATAGTTCGTAGAAAAGACCTACGTGACCCTGGCCACGAGCGTCTGCAGAACACGTGTGCGGTGGGCCTGGTAAAAGACAATGGAAGGCTACAACGGCCAGAGAGAGTCGAGAAGCAGAGAGAGAGTCGAGAAGCAGCGTGCGGCGAGTCGAGAAGCAGCGTGCGAGAGGAGAAGCAGAGCTTGCGAGTGGCGTTGCCGAGAGAATGTCGATTGCGTTTTGGGAGAGTCGAGTCGTATTCTAATCATCTAGTTGTGCTGCTTTCTGTACGTTTGGCGCGTTTTGGGAGAGTCGAGTCGTATTCTAATCATCTAGTTGTGCTGCTTTCTGTACATTTGGCGAGAATAGCTCAGGTTGAACAACAATCGCCTTTTCTATCTTCCATTCCTTTGTAAACACACACATTATATCACGATATTACATTTAATATAAATTTATATTTTTCGGAGATGACAAAGGTATTTAAACAGCCCATTATCCATCGTATTAAACCTTGGTATTTTTCGTGAGACTGTATTTAACATTTATTTTACAGGTTTCCCACACTTGCCAGCAACGAAAACGCTCGAAACCGCTTTGAAAAGAGATTCAAAGAAGCCAAGGCGTTTGACACGATAAAAAGTGTTGCCCTGCGTTCTCCGTAACCCTTTTCGTCAGTCAGATGGTTCTCTTTTACAGTTTCTGGCAACGACGTCGGTATACAGTAGCGATCGAGATTGGTCAGAGGAGCAAAATCAAAGGGCCAACTGCTGCGCACCAGCAATTCCAATTCTTCAAAATAATTTCTTCCTATTCAACCGTCGGTCCCTCCGACAACCCTTCGCACTGAATCTCCGCTTCCTTTCTGTCTTCGTTCATAGCAGATCCCCCTCCAAGAAATGTCGGTTTGCTCGCACTCCACCGGTAATCCCGCTAAATTGGAATTTTATTAAGCTCTGCCTTTTTCCCTCGACCACCCTCCTTCGGTGAGCTTGATCTCGTTCATCCTCTCGAGTCACTGGTTCCGTCGTTTGCAACGTTCGCAGGGATTTTTTTGACGGTCGTTTGGCAGTTTTTTCGAGCAAACTCGGTTTCTTTTGGTTCGTTGAATATGAGAACTTCAAAACTAATTTGGAAGAGAAATGTTTCGAGCTTCCACGTGGAATGTCCAATACTCAAATGAAATTTTGTATATTCGGTGTTTCCTCATTTAAGAGATAAACCGAGGTAGTAATTACGTATATTCGTCGTAACGTTTCATAGAATTTCTTAGTACATGTTTGGAAATATATTTCCACCATATAGTTACGTAATAATGTGAGAATTGTGGATCTTTGTAGTTTATTCTTACATATTTTTCTTCGCAATTTTGTATCTCCGTTACCGAATATGAAAGACACGCTAGATTATGGACATAACTAGCTCGATCAGGTTCGTAGAAGATTTCAAAAAAGATTTTTCGTAATGTTTATTGAGAAACTATATGAAGTATTAACATAATTATAATTATTATTGGTTACCAGTAATTACTAAGTAGATAGATTCGGATACTGAACGGACTACGGTAATAAAGACATAGTAATATCAATAATTGAATGAAAAATACAAATTGTTCCCCGAGATTGACAAAATTGAGAATCGATCATAATATAATAGAAGTAAATAAGAAGAATCTCTAAAATTTCTTTATCTACCCAATCTCTAAAGTGTCTACGTAGTTCTAAAAATATTTCTTACTGATATAACGTCGTTCATTCGTGTGATGTAAAAAGTACTTGGGGACATTCTTAAAGATTCATTTCACTGACTTCCATAGTATGATGTGTCTCCAACTTTATTAGCTTCGGATAGTTTAAGGAAATAGCAGTGAAAGGTGTATTGTACATTTCTTGAATCCCTTTCCGCACCACAAAAGTGCCAATTATTTGGCCCCAGCGATATCGAACATTTTTTCCAATTACACCCGGGCAATAACCGCAACGAAACTCACTCATTATGCGGTTAATCCCTTTTTCGCAGTCACCAGCAGGTGAATACCATCGCATCGCCAGGTAAAATTCTCTTAAAAACACGTCCCACGGAGGACCAAAAAGACCTGTTTGAAATTCGACCCGCGCGAACTTACTATTCCCGAAACATTAAGCGTCACATTTTAATGAACCCAAAAACAATCTGCGTTAATTAGGTTTTGCGTCGTGTTCTCGAGCGTCTCATATGCAACTAAGCTTTTAACATTTTTAGGAAAATGAATTTTTAGAACTGGAGAATTATGTTCTTCGCATTTATGAAGAAAATTTCCTGTTATTTCTCGCATTTCATATTTTCATTGCACTACATCAGAAACGTAAGGTACAGCATAATAAATGTAAAAGAACGTATTATTGTATATCTCAGACATAATTCCATTTAAAGAAGGGAATAAAAATCTCGTAACATTTAGGTCGATGCAATTATCTGAGAAACGGTTCTGTTTAAAAACGGAATTAAAAATGTATTTTAATATTTAGGTCGAGAAAAGGAAATATTATTACGCTTTAGTATGCTATCCGGACTGCAAAATATTCGGTTAAAATGACACTTTTTAGGGGTCTTTGAGATCGCTGAAGCCGAAAATGAGGATCGTTTCTCATGGAAAGCGTAAGGCGTAAAAGTTTCGGCCAACCTGTTGATGTGTAACGTTCTCGCAGATTTTGACGTTGTCGTTTTTTAAATTTGCTACTCTAACCTGCTGGTACGCCTTACTTTGTATGTATTCGAATCGTAGATATCGGACTAATAAATTTTCCAGTCCGTTTTATCCACAAGTTTTACTACAATTTTTTCGTTAGACAAAACCAAACTGTTGAGAAACTAAAAAAAAAGACAAGCAAAAATAGATTTAGTACGCGCATTAAAACCATTCAAATTCTTCGAAAAACCGCACGACTCTGCCAAACTACAATCCATCTTGCAGAAGCCCATTAAGAACACAAAACTCTGTCGCAGAAACCCACCGGCCGATTTAATACCACCCCCTTTAATGCTACCCGGATGGATAATTAAATCACGTCGATCGTTGGTACTATAGAATTGTTCGCAATTCACCGGCTCGACATTCATCAGCGACGGTTCTTTCCACCCCTGGCGTTATTTCGCTCGAAGCTCGTGGGGGTCCACCGCCGAAAATCCATTATTTCGTTTTACAGAGACAAAGCGGAGCCGGAGGAAACGTACGATCGAACCGGAACGCGTCCATTCGTCCCTTCCAACCCTCTGGTTCCGGGCCACGCTTCTGCATTCCCCTCTCTCCCGGTTTTCGCCGCGTCTTCGAGAACGAGGGTGGCTGTCTAAACGCGTCGTTTGTATGCGCGAGGACTGCATAAGAAATTCGAACAGAGTGTTTGTGTTCGACGTTGCAAGGATTAAAGGGTGGGCGGGGAAGGGATTTAAAATAAATGAAAGAGGATAGGTGAATGTACAGGGTGTTTCTGAATTGGTGATGCAATTTGTAATGCTTTGTAATAATAATGTGAAAGCGGGTGAATATAAGTGCAAAAATAAGACAGAGATGAAAAATATCAGCTTTCATATAAATTATGTAATCCATTAATACGATGACTGGCACGACGGTCATCGGTGATCGTTTAACTAAATTTTATAAGTTGATTAAAATAACATACGTTTCGTGAACTAAAGGATTTTCAACGATGAGAAATTAGATAACGTTGGCAGAGAAAGGTGCACAAGTGCAATATAATATTTTGCAAGAAAGTAAATGTTGTATTTCGATCTATCGTAGTTTCGAGGGCAAGATATATATAGAATTGATGTGACAGTGAACGTGTTAAGGACAAAGCAATAGTTCGCCATAATTTATGAAATTTATTAAAAAACTAGGCTTCATGTGAAAAAATGTCACTCTACGTTTTCGATTTATTTTATCTTTCGACTTATTTTATCCTGTACCCTTCCTATTGTATTATTTCAGATACACCCTGTAGAGAAGGAAAAAAACGGAGCAGAGGAATGACCCGTAGATAGTAGTAAGGTGTAGAAGAAGGAGAAGATTAATGGAGCCTGAATTTTCTACGAAATTGTGCATGTGTCTCTTGAAAAGCTGCATGAGTCGATGCATAGATACGGCGAGTAATAATGATCTGGATAGAAAGTGTATCGATGGATCTAACCGGTTTAAAATGGTAATGAACGAGTCGGAGAACACTGTGGTTTGTGAAACTGGGAGTGGTTATTTTATAAAAGACTTCGTGTTGATTGGAAAACCGGGTTTTTTGTAAAGCAAGAACAATTTGTAACGACCTGAAATGGGTGGTTCCTACGGTTTGACGTACCAGTTTGATTGTAACCGAAACTCGATTTGTTGCCTCAAAAGTGCTAGTTTTCAATGGGAAACGTGGAATTCGTTTTCGGGCACATATCTTGAGGCAAAAAAGTTAGCTGTTCCATTTTTATGAATTTTATGAGAGTCCTTTGCTTTTGTAGTATTTGTAAAACAGAAAAACATTTTACGCGAAACAAGAAATAAAAAAGGAAAGCAACTGATCAATTGTAAGGAAGAGATGATTCCAAACTCTGCTACGTTCTTTGAATCATTCTCGGTTCAATCACGTTCTTTTGCCGCTAAACGATTTGCTCAACATTGCTATTAAATATCAAAATTTCTCTGGAAGCATTACGAAATACTTGCTAATAAGAAATTGAGAGAAACAAAAAAAATTTTGCTCAAATTAATTCGCTGCCAGAGCAGAAAATTTAAGCAGAAACCCCTCTCGTTGCATATAAATTTAATAAAACGAAAAGAATTGAATAACGCAAAACGAAAGCTACTCTGAGTATCGAATTTTTGCTGTAATATTAAAACACGGAGTTTATTATTTTACCTGTCGATACATATAGGACATTAAGGCAAACAATAGGAAAAAAGAAAAGGAGAAAATATTCGAAAACTGGGTATCATTGATTGAACGAAATATTTGTAAATAAAATCTCGGTAAATAAACGTGTTTAATTTTCCATCGTGTTTGACGATTCAGGATAGGTTGATATATAGATTCAATAAAATGGAACATCGACGAGAGGGAAGCAAACTTATCGATAGAAGGTGTTGCATTACAATGAAAATGGAACGAAGTTCCTCTGCTTCCTGTTAGTTTCATAAAGCGACGCGAGGAACGGTTAGAGGTGATCGCGATTAATGCAAAACCGTGAGTCAGATCATTCCAATTCCATCGGAACCGGCATTCTTTCGACCATTATATATAAGAAAGAGAAAGATCTGGAAGGTTAGCAGCGCAACTGGATGAAGGAACGATTGGGTACCATCGCTGGGATTAATACAATCCTACGCCGCCGAAGAAAGGGAAATCAATTTCAGGAGTAATGGAAAAAAAGCGCCGGTATGATAAAAGAAGATACGATGCTCGGATTCATGGTGTTCCTCGTGAATATAAATTATGGTGATCAACCCTCTATTTTCCACCCAAAACTCTGATAAAAATATAAGAATAAATATACGGAAAGGAAAAATAATATAAAATTTCAAAAAAAGAATTTATCATATACTCTTGCGAAATAATGCGTGGCAAATACCGTTTCTAACTGATCATTGAAAAACAAAATCTGACATTAATTGAATCAAAGAGTTCAACATGTTTGATAAAATTTAAAACGCATCGTTATGTATTTTTGCAAAATACTATTTAAAAGATAATACCATTAATTGATCATTAAATGCATCAGTGAAATATAAAAATCTGGCATTGGTCAAGACAAAAGTGTCATTTTCTAACAAGTAAAAAAATAAGCAAAAATATTAAATACCTATACCAAGAATATAAATTCTCTTATTCGTATTTTGATCTTTCTAAAATATCTTATTCATCATAAGAAACCGAGTACACTTAGAAACCTTTCAAAACTATCTCAAGAGAGACAAAGTTTTCTTAAAAGCAATCACAAAGTGCCCAATAAATAGCAAAAAGTTCAAAGCTTTCCCATATTTATCTCTTCTCCAGAAATATATAAATTTCTTTTTCCAGAAAGAGAAAAGGAGTACTCACCATCCATTCGGTAGAAGTAGGCGTCATTTAAAGACACAAAAGTGGACGTAGCTGGCGTTGTTAGCATGCACACTCGCGAACAAGGAAGACGGGTAGGAAAAAACGTGAAATCGCATTTGGCACGGAATAGCTGATCGGATCGGTGACTTTTATTTAGAAATAAACGAGAAACGAAAGGGGAGAACGAAAAACACGGAGAAGAACGGGAGAGAATGTACGGGCACGCACGTGGTCGGCTTTGTACGCGTCCATTCGGCGTGAAATCTGTCTTTATTCCATCGGGTCAGTCTTAAAGCTCTGTCGCGTTAAAAACTCCGTATTAGGCGTTCAATGGCCACACGCTTTCCAACCGGAAATTCCGCCATTGAAATCCGAGCCTGAGCGAAATATGGACGCGCTGTATTGTATCAATTAACTGTTCCATCGGCCGAATCGGCGTTGCCTTTTTCATCCCCTTGTGCATACCACCGATAGCGATGGCGATTCGATCCAACTCTACTCAGAGTTCTGGAACAATTTGCATAAAATCCTCGTTTCGAAGCATCATTTCCCGGCAAATTTTTCTTAGACGAAACACTCGTCGAAATGATTCAAAAGGATTGATTCTTTTCTTTATAAACGAAAGAACGAGTAAAGTTTAAAAACATCAGAGTCCTGTGAAATCTTTTATGGATTATGGTAATTTCCGAACTTTGAATTGCAATTGATAAAAGTCTGCAGGATCGTAAAAGAATCTCGAAAATCTGATTCGAAAAATTAAGATTAAGGAACTTTTTTTTGACAGAGTTCAAACTTTTAGCTGACTTCTTGAAATTTGAAGAGACAAGTTTCGACGTTCGAAATTTTGAGAAGTTCCATCGAAGATCAATATTTTCTGCATAAAGTAAAATATACAGGTTTCATATTTATCGATATTTTTGGTTTCAAAGACGGTTTCGAAGCGCGTCGACGCCCATCGCTAGCCGCACGCAAACAATTATCGATTCTGCGGAAAAATGAAACCCCTCCTCGATGGTCCTCGCGTCGTTGCAAACGGCTGAATGCACGCCGCAAAAATATCTAGAAATTTCAATTCGCGAGGACTCGCGTGTCCCTCTTTCGCCTCGGTTAGCCTCGTGTTTCATCCCGCCAGTATCCGGCCGAAATTATTTTTCTCTCGCGCCGTCGCTCCACCAATTTTTTTTCCGTCGTTTTTGGATTTTCTATAACTTTGG